TTTTTTGGGGGGTCTCGGGTGGTTTTGACCCCCTGGGGGTTCCTGTTTTAGGGTTCAAGGGGGACACTGGGTGGGGGGGGGTTGGGCTGGGCGGCCTCTCCCACACACCTGGGCCAGCAGGTGAGGGGGGGGTTTAAACACCCCAAAACCTTATAGGGAGGGGGGATTTTGATGTTTTTTGGGGGTTCCCCTGACCTGTCCTTCCCCCTCCCCCAGTACCTGCCCGGCTTCCGGTGGCCTCACCTGAGCGAGCGGCTCAGCTACGAGCGCCAGGTGAGGGCTCAGCGCCTGCGGGCCGAGGTGGCCCAGGCCAAACGTGAGGGGGCGTTCTACGCCCACCGCGCCTCCAAAAGCACCAAAGACCCCCCCAAAACCTCGGGAGACCCCGCCGCCCCTCCCCCGACATGGGGTTTCACCCAAAGAAAAACCGAGGAGGAGATTTGGAAACGCAAAGCTCGGCCCCCCCCGGCCGCGCCCCCCCAAACGCTGCTGGAGAAGATTTTTGGGGCAGGGAGGTGAGACCCCCCCCCCACCCCCTGCACCCCCTCCTCAAATTTGGGGGGGGGTCTCAGGTGTCTGGGAAGGTCCCCTCGCACACCAGGACCCTCTCCGGACACCGATCCCTTTCTCGAGGACTACGAAATGTTTTTATTTTTCTCCTTTAAAACTTTTATTACTCTTTAACAAAAATAATTCCTCGCGGTCTCTTTAAATTCTGCCGAGGGGGCGGGGCCAAAGGGGAGGGGGCGGGGCTATGGCTTCGGCGCGAAACTCCCTGAAGGCAGCGCGGGGGGCGGGGAATAGTGGGCGTGGCTTAAGCAGCAAAGACCACGCCTCTTTTACCATAAAAGGGCGTGGCTTGAAGCAACAGCAGTGAAATGCGCGAGTGGGCGGGGCCTGATTTGAGGGGCGGGGCTTGTGGAAAGCCACGCCCCTCCCCGCGCCTTAAAGAGTTAAATCTCTAAAGGGGTGGGGGAGGGCTCTTAAAGGGGCCGCGCCCCCATTTCGGGGGGCGGTTCCAGTGTCAAAAATAGAAGCTCTGGAGGAGGGGGGGAGGGGCCCCAGTATGGCACTGGGGGAACTGGGAGAAGGAACAAACTCGGGGCCCCATAAACCTGATGTCCCCATAAACCTGGGGGG